ACTGCACTCCAACCTGGGCGGCAGAGTGAGACTCCAACTCAAAAAAAAAAAAAATTAGCCAGGCATAGTGGCACATGCCTGTGGTTCTGGCTACTTGGAAGGGTGAGGCAGAGGGATCACCTAAGCCCAGCGGGTCGAGGTTGCAGTTACTGTGAGTGTGCTGCTGCACCCCAGCCTGGGTGACAGAATGAGAATCTGACTCAAAAAGAGAAAACACTGTATCCTCCTTACCTACTGTCCACTTTGTGAAAGGATAGGGAGGCTCTTATTACCTGGCTGGAGAAATGGGAGTGCATTCTCTGATGGAGGTGTTAGTGATTCCTCTAATAGTAAACACCCACAACATATGTAAATGTGAAATTGCAAGTCATTTTGACTTTTCCTCACTGTTGCTTCCTCTTCAGTATGGGATTTTAAACAGGAATTCATGTTTATGAATGGTTCCTGCTCTAGAGGAACTCACTGGTAAGGGAAAGACAGATAAAAACCCGCTCTAACACCGTGAGGTAAGTATTAGGATAGGATCATATAAACCTACAGGAACATAAGGGAGAAAATGATTTTCCCAAGGGAATAATAGCTTTTTTAACCCTTTGCACTTGGATATCCCTTCTGAGGGGACATAGTAAATCTAGCAAGCCACTCAGATGGCTCCGCTCAGGGGACATAAAAAATATTGTTGGTAATTTATCCAGGACAAACTTATGCAAGTGCAAATTTTTCAAAGATGTATGTTTCCTTGAAGTTTTCCTGTGAAAAACAATGAAAAACCTAGGTCCTGTTTGAAATTTGTCAAGCTTTTAATCAGTTGGGAAGTAGTTTTCAGGAATCATGAGTGCATCCTTCGACATTGTCTTTGAACAACAGACGGACAATAAATTATATATTATTAACGTGGGAGGAAGAAAATGAGATTGCACTGTCTGCTCAAATAGGAAACACCAGGTGGCTGGGTGTGGTGGCTCACACCTTTAGTCCCAGCACTTTGGGAGGCCGAGGTGAGAGGACTGCCTGAGCCCATGGGTTCGAGACCAGCCTGGGAGGTGTCTCTGAGTGCAAAGGGTTAACAGTGTTACTCTGAAGATGTAGGAAAACGTTGTTGTTTATTATGAAAAGCAGCCATGAGTTTCTTTTTCAAACCTAAGAAGATTGCTTCCAGGTTGAGCAACACAGTGAGACCTTGTCTCTACAAAAAATTACTGGGGTGTGGTAGTGCTCGCCTGTTAGTCCCAGCTACTTGGGAGGCTGAGGTGGAAAGAGTGCCTGAGCCCAGGAGCTTGAGGCTGTAGTGAGCTGTGGATGTGCTGCTGCACTCCAGCCTGAGTGACAGAGTGAGACTCCGACTCAAAAAAAGTAAAAAATAAAGATTGCTTATGATAGTTGAGATTGGTGGCTTATGCCTGTAATCCCAGCACTTTGGGAAGCCAAAGGAGGACTGCTTGTGCCCGGGAGTTGGAGACCAGCCTGGGCAACATAACGAGACCTCATCTCTACTAAAAAAATTTAAAAAATAGCCAGGTGTGGTGGCAAATGCCTGTAGTCCAGCTACTTGGGAGGCTGAGGTAGGAGGATCACTTGAGCCCAAAAGTTTAAGGCTTCAGTGAACTGTGATTGTGATACTACACTTGAGCCTGGGTGTCAGAGTGAGGCCCTGACTCCAGAGAAAGAAAGATTGTTTATAATATATTTGCACAGATATGTTATTAATATATAATTTCCAGACAATTGGCCCTGCGTAACATTTAACCATTCTTTGTTTTTATTTTTTTGAGTTTGAATCTTGCTCTGTCACCCAGGCTGGAGTGCAGTGGCATGCTCATGGTCCCCAGCGTCCAATTGCTGGGCTCAGGCAATCCTTACACCTCAGCCTTCCAAGTAGCTGGAACCCCAGGCACGTGCCACCACGCCCGGCTAATTTTGGGATTTATTGTAAAGATGCGGTCTCACCAAGTTACCCAGGCTGGTCTTGAACCCACGGGCTCAGATGGTCCACTCGCCGCGGCCCCCCAAAGTGCTGGGATGACAGGCCGAGCCACCGAGCCCAGCCCAGGTCAGGTTCTTTGGTGTCAGAAACTATGTAGCGCAAATGAGCTTAATTTTATTATCTCCTGAACTCTACTGTGCCTTGTGGTACATGAGTGTGGATGAAGATACAGCTGTGGAGTAGGCAGGCCCCGAATTTGTCCAGGGGCAGAGAAGCATTCAAGCACAAAATGAACGGTTCAGAGTAGATTTCTGAGGGCCCGTTTTCTGTTGACATTTGTGCCTTTTGCCAATAGAGTTTGAAACAGCAGAGACACTCCTGAACTCCGAGGTTCATATGCTTCTGGAGCATCGAAAGCAGCAAAACGAGAGTGCGGAGGATGAACAGGAGCTCTCGGAGGTCTTCATGAAAACGCTAAGCTACACGGCTCGTTTCAGTCGCTTCAAAAACAGAGAGACCATCGCCAGTGTCCGTAGGTGAGTGCGAAAGGAAACTTGATTCATCCAAACTATTGGACAACTATATGGAGAGCGCCATCTCCCACTCTTCCCTAGACTTCATCTGTGAGTTTAATGATGTCTTTGTTAACAATTTAGAATTGCTTAAAAGGTCAAAATTTATTTATTTTATTTCATTTTATTTTTTTTGAGTTGGAGTCTCACTCTGTCGCCTAGACTGGAGTGCAGTGGCCGC